AATGGGTTTAAGTAACTCATCTCTCTCTCTTAAAAATACTACTTTTACCTATTTTTATTATAATATTAATATATAAAAATATATAAAAAAACTCTAAAATAAAAAAATTTAAGAGAAGAGTTCCCAACCAAACATCCTTTTGAGATTTAAGCCTCTACTTAAATAAAATGGGTTTAAGTAACTCATCTCTCTCTCTTAAAAAAAAAACTGACCAGCATTTTTTGCCTTCCACCTTGGGTGGCGACCTCTTTTTTGCCTTAGGTATGCATTGTCATCCTAAGAATTTATATAGCAATTGTGTTGTTTCGTTTTCTTCTTTATTTTGGATTTTTCGTAAAGGTTTTTTTTTTTTTTCAAAATAGATTTTTATATTCTTCTGGGGTTTTTTTATGAAGGTTTTGTAACAATTGATTAATTTATATAATATATAATGTTTATTAGTCATTTATTATATCAAAGTTAAAGATAATTTTTAAACAAATCTTAAAACTACAACACTACAAGAGGTGAATATTCTTGAATTGTCCCCTCAATTGGTTTGCAAGGTTGCTACTTTTAAGCGTTAACTTTGCGTAAAGCCTTAGGATATCAAGCCCTTTATTGTTTTCTTATATATTGTAAATTAAATCCTAAAGTGATAGATTAAGAAGGGACTTGATATGAACACTTGTACAATCTGTTTTCTCAAGCTAAAGTCTTGTTTGCGTGAGTTCTTTTGGGTTTTTGCTATTAATGTTATATCCCTATTTGCCTATTAAAAACCATCTGCCTTGGGTTAGAAAAGACAAAAATTACTTAGTGAATCAACGGTAGAAGATTTATTTATTTTTATATATTTTTTAATTTGATGTTTTTTTTTAAATAAATTACAATTATTTACGAATATCAATTAAAAATAGAGAAAAAAAATTCATAAAATTTGAACATGTATCCCACAATAGGTGAATTACCTTGACGAAGGCTTATGGCATGTGATCGGAACGGACGTCGTCTAAATTGATATTTTTAAATAGGTGAGAGATTGAAAAATAATATTTTTTATAATAATAAACAACTTTTAATTACATCAAGTACTATTATATTAATAATTTATAGGT